CCATGCAAAGAATTTCATTAATCAAACCTTCTCGCTTTGATTTTTTTTCTCTCTTACCATCAGATATTGGTTTGGAATTCCTAGTATTCAAGTTTGCATCATTGTCTTTATCATAAGAGTTTTTCTTTCCTTGTTTCCTCGGTGAAACTCTACGCTCCTGTCAATTCCCAAAAGTGAGATTTGTTCAAAATGGCGCACAAATCAAGCATATCAGGAAAAAATAATCCCAAAAATTACTTAATTGCATTAAAAACTACCAATTTGTCACTAAATTTAACCTGTTCAAGAGACATTTGTGACAGACGTGAAGAGTGTAAGGCTTTTCCCCATTCTTACTCTTACAAGAGGCCACAAAATCTATGATCTTTTGATGGCACTGCAGCAATCAACATCAAAATTCATTTAAACCCTAGGCAATTTAGAAAATTGACTACCAAAAAAAAGATCAAATCGTAAAGAAAAATAAGAAGAAAGAAAGGAAAAAACCTTGTGACAATTCTTGCATAAAACCGTTCAGCAAAGCAAAGCAAAACAAAATAGCAAAAGAGCAAAGAAAACCCAAACCAAAGCAAAATAGCAAATTAGCAAAACCAAAACTAATCATAAACATAAGCCTCTGCAAATCAATTCCATTCCAACAAATCCTCCAAATCAAACGCATAGTTACACCCCTCAAAGAAAACTAACCTATTGTTCGCATCTTGGCACCTAGAGATCACCTTTTCCAGCGACATATCCCCCTTGTTCAATTTCACGCATAGTAGGCTCAGAAATGTGTAATGGCCCTCATTGTCCCCTTATGGAGCATTATCCTAGATTATGACATAGTTTGCTACCAAAGTTTAACATCACTTTAGCATAATGTAAAGCTCTCACTTCACTTTAAATAAACCAATTCTCCATATAAGGTCACTAATGAACATAGTTTATACACTAATATGCCAAGAGTTTTTACATAAACCGGCAACCAACAATTATCACACCATTGAAAATCACTCGACATAAGGATCCACGACCTCCAAACACATTAATCATGGCATTTAAATTTCATACCATAAGCGGCCATGTATATATTTTTGATGTAAGGAATGTGTGGTGGCCTTAAAGTTCCACGTATGGAGCAAACTTCATAGGCAATGACAATTACGCTACCAAGATTTAGCTAACCTTGACATATTGGTGGGGATGGCCGTTAGAGTGAAGCAAAGCATACTTACCAAGGAGTTCTGAACTGAAAAGGTTTAACAATATGCCAAGCGAAATGGTATACACTGGCAACACATTATTGTCATAACTTCAAATGTCACTCGACATAAGGAACTAGGCCATAATACACAAATTAAACATCATAGCCACGGTGTATATGTACCTGAAAGTACAGTAAAAAATTAAACTATCACATAGCAATACTTTCACCTAAATCAAACACAAAAGGCACCCAAAAGATTAACATATAAACTCACATTCTCAGCGAACAGTTAGCAGCATTACATTTTAGTGTTAAAATGAAGAGATCCAAAAAATTGTGGGCTAGCAATAGTATAAACTATGTACAAAACGATGTTTTGCTCCACAGTACGCGCAAAACAGCTTACTATCAAAATAAGAACAACTTACCTCCACACTGCAAAAAAATAAGTGTTCGGCTTTGGCTCTCCAAGGTTCTCTGATCAAACGAACAGGGCCTAAACCTTCTTAAACGCAGATTAAACCTTCGGTCTAAAGACTCCAAATACAGATCAAAGTTTCAAACCATAAACAAATAATCATAAATCCAAACCATAAAAACAGATGAAATCATCAACATGAAAAGAAGTAAAAACCACAAACATAGAACAAATCATCAAAACGAAAAAAAAAAAAAAAAAAAAACTAAAAATGGACAGGGGAAAAGGAAAAAAGAAAAAGAACTCATTAGGTGGTCATTGAAATCCAGATTGGAGTCGATCTCCTTCACAAAGTGCTTGCTTGACCACTTAATCTTGTTGAGCTCAACACAGTATTTTCATGAACAGATCATTTCAGACAAATTTTGACTCAGTAAGTAGGTCTTCTTATTGAGAAAAGGGAAAAAAACAAGAAAATGAGAGAAATGGAAAATACCTAAAATGGAACTTCCGAAGCAAAGAAGAAGAAGGAAAAGACTTTCCTAAGGCCGATCCGTCGAGAAGAAGCAAAGAATTTTAGTCGTCACTAATAACCCAATTTCTTGTAGTGATAACAAACCTAAACAAATCCCCAAAAAATCTATAAAAAAAATTTAGGAAAAAAACCCTAAAAAGCAAAAAATACCCCAACGACAAAAAAGGGAAAACCAAAAAAATTTTCAAAGAGAATAAAATGTAGGAACTTCATGTTGAAAAAATTCAGAATTGGGAGGATGAAAAGAATAGAGAAAGCAGAAAGAGAGTTTGAGGCGTATAGGAATACTTTCCTTTAAGGTTTTATTTGCCCTCACTTCTCAAAGTTTGCTAATGAGTTTTAAATGGCAAATTACCCCCAAGATACAACAAACCCTTGAACACAATATCCAGCAAAAAAATATTGAGTTCCAGAACAATAATGAATCTATATTTTCTGAAGTCCATCAAATAAAGACAGGGATGCATCCATCCTCTTTAAGTGTTACAACCTTTCACATAAAGATACCTTTTCAATTTGAAGGTTATCTTTTATATGCTAATGCACTTATATCAATAGTTATTTCTATTGTTAATAAGTGCTCAGATATGTGAGAAAACATATCACAAATAGATGCAATGGTTCGAGACCTTTTCAGATCACTAAAACACACGAAAACACATTTTCCGTTAACAATTTGCACTGCAGCGCCCAAGAGGCGCGCTGCAGCGCGCGGGCTTAGCAAAACAGACCCGAGAGGTCTGTTTTGCACAAGCTGCAGCGCCCAAGCGCGCTGCAGCGCGTCCGTGCGCTACAGCGCGCGCTCCTGCGCGCTTGTGCCCGCCCACTCTTCCCGAATGTGTTTTATGCCAATTTTTTGTGATATCAAAATTGAGAGATATATTACAATCTCTCTAACACTTCACTGAAACATAACTCATAACCTCAACCCATTTATCACATAAGAAACCTAAAGAAAGCCGAAATGAACCCGACGAAAAACACAACCAAACCCAGAGACAGAAAATCAGGAAAAAATTAGAACCAAAAGAATCCATAACGAAAATGAAGAGGAAGAAACAGAACAGAATAAATGCAGACAGAGAGAAGACAAAGGGAGAAAAAATGTGGAGAACAAACGAAGAAAAGGAGCTTCAGCGAAACAAAAGAACAAAAGGTAAGAGATTGAGGCGTAGAAGCTTCAACGAAAGAAGCAGGAGAGGCTTCTCGGGAACGGTAAGAAAAAGAGGACCGCAGTAAATGACCAAAATGCCCAGAAGGAAATCACAGAAGCAAAATAAAACTGAGGACAAAACGATAAAAAAAATGGTAGGGGACAGAAATGGTATTTCAGTAGCAAGCAAAGCAAAAAAAGGGGAGAATGGAGCGGGCGAGAATTTAAAAATTTGGGGGGAAGCTACTTTCACAATCCACCAAAATATTTCATGGTTTTTTAATATATATATATATATATATATACTGAAAATAACTTTTTTAAAACGCTATGAAATGTAATCAAAATAAGTTTTAATAGCGGTTTTTCAAAAACGCTATAACTAAAAGTTATTAAAAGCCTTCTTTGTTGTAGTGAAACAAGTAAACTAAATTACTTGGAGAGGCAACTAAATCCCATTATCACATGCACATGGTTTCTTAACTTGATAAGTGTCCATCAATGAGAAATCTTATGTATCTATATGTTATCTGATAAGACGGGTGTTACAATATACTTCTTTTTTACTTTCGTTCTTATTTCGAACAAAGTAAGTGTATAGTTTCGTTGGAAAAATCCAACGATCGAACAGTCATATTTATTGACTTTCTCTTATCCTACTTCAAGTAAAGACATATCTCTGAAAATCTCTGAACCTCTAAGCTCCCCACCCCTACAACAAAGCCTCGTACCCTTCTTTTTGCCCCTAGAGGTTCTTTTGAGAATCCAAAAGTTTATGTTACAAATATGTAACTACAATTAATACTGAAATCTAGAAAACCCAAGCAAAATAAATAAATAAAATAAATAAACCGCAAGACCGAAAAGGGTTTGACCAATATTCAACATTTACCTGTATGAGTTATATATACACTGTAAAAAAGTTGATATGAAACTATAGAAAGTATTTTCAAAATAAGAATATAATTTGACTTCAACTGATTTTAATGAAGTTTAGAAATTTTGTTTGTTTCATGTAGGCCTCATTCTTTTCACCGATTCGAGTTTTGCTACAGTAAAAAGCTCTCAGAAACAGTCACATCTAACTTTTTTGATACAGTAAAAAGGTCTCACATAAAGTCACATCTCAACTTGAATTAAAAACTCGAATCAACGAACTAAACGGGCCCAGACTTTTAGTCACTTTTGTTTTTTTTTTATTTTTTTATTAATTACAAAAATTCCCAACCCACCTTTCAATTTTGACCCTTATAACACTTTACCATTTGATTTTTTTTTTTTAACATCAGTCATCTCTGATCCTTAGTTTATGGGTCACAATCCACTCACGTTGCGGTTTTCATTCCTCAAAGTAATAGAACGGCGTAACTTATTAACAAAATATAGATAAGAGAGAACCGATGTTATAAAACAAAATCCAATGAGCAAAGTGTTATAATAGTCATAGTTTGAGAGAAATTTTTGTAATTAATATTTTTTTTAGTCACTTTTGGTTATACCATGATAACAATAATTTAATAAATCACTAGCTAGTATTATTAATGAAAAAAAGCTATGATTCAGGAGATTATTAATGATTTAATTCCTTTATCCTACATTATCTGGCTGTTAAAGAAGTGAAGAACTAAAATACATGAACTAAAGTAAATAATTAATCAACTATTGATTATAATACACTACAACCATCTGTTAAGCCTTAGTTTTCCCTTGCTAACAACGGATTACAACCCTAAGCAACTGTCTTTGCTCACTTTGAAGTAAAAGATCACCTATCAACATTTGATCTAACGGCTGTCAGTCATCTCATGATCAAGGTCGACGTAGCTGTCAGTTACAATCTCTCTCCCAGATGAAAGTCATCAGCTGTGGGTCCAACCTAACTTCACGTGTAAAGCTTATTCGTCTCCTCTCTTTGCTCCTCCAATGAAAATGAAGTTGCTAAATCTAAATCTAAACCTAAACAAATGAACGAGGTTAGATAGCGTTGTCACCAATAGCGTATCGCCACGTCTTCTAGTACAACTATCTGATTTAAGCAGAAGAATATGAAAGGAGTATTCTTAGGGAATTTCTCATATAAAATTTGACCTTTTTAACCTATGGTAGTTACTTTTAATTAAGGATTAAGTTCTCAATAACCAGATTTATGATCATAATAATTATGAGTCGTGCGCTGTTTTTTTAATTCAGGCACTTGCATATCAAGTCGTTCAAAATCTGAATCTAACAACTAAAATAACTATAATTATCAATAATTAAAAAAGAATAAATTTTATCAGAGAACCTCTATTTTTTTTTTAACGTTCCGGACTAGATTTTAATTTTAACCCCAATTTTCAGAAATTTAACTTGTCAAAATTGCTAATTGACTTGATAACTTTCAACTAATATCATGACAAATATAATTTGTAAAATGACATTTTAGTTAATCAAATGTCTGTTATAATAGATGAAAAATCGACAATTCAGCTATTAAAACAGTTGGTATCTATTATCTAAAATCTGATGAACTACTTACAAAAGTTGGAACAAGATCACACAATGACGAATAGAAACAAATTAAGTAGAAAATGAATTACTCAAAGCAGCCCAGCATTATTTCGTTCCCAAAAAGACTGTCGGCAAACTCTCTCTGCTTAGCTGTTACTCCACACAACGCGACAGAATCCACCACGTGGCAGCTACTCATTGGTCCGTCTATTTTATAGTCAGTGTTTCGAATCGAACAACCCCCTCTCTCACAGTATAAAAGCCACGGGGCAATACAACCTGTGTGTCGGCAGAAATTATAAAAATAAATTAATTAATTAATTAAAGAAAAAAAGCTGACCCAGATACTTCCTTCTTCTTCATCTTCGCATTTTCTAGAGGAAAAAGTACACAAAAGAAAACTGATTAAAATTAGATTGTCATACAATGATGTTGAGAATTAGGTCGAATGCGCACGGTAGAATGAGCGAGAACTCCACGACGACGCCGTCTAACGACGAGATGGCGGAGATTGAGTGGGAGATGAGACCAGGAGGCATGTTAGTGCAGAAAAGAATCGGAGCGTCCGATGTTTCGACTCCGAATTTGCGTCTCCGAATCGCTTTCGGAGCCGTCCGTATAGAGATCTCGGTCAACTCTCAAGCTACCTTTGGTAATTTTTGTTGATCGATCTATGCATCTTTAGTTTCTAGCTTCTATTTTTTTTTTTCCATATAATGTTGTTAGCTTCATATTTACTTCTCTCTGTATATATAGACACGCTTTTGACACGTCGTTTCCCGTTTGGCTGCTGAGAAAATTTGGTTGAAACTTAGCTACTCTTTTACTGTACATAAGTATATTCCTTATAGTTTTCTCATGCATGACATATACAAGGAAGTTTGCCAAATGACTACGAAAATTAGAAAAGAAAAAATGCTCTTTTTATATTTGCATTTACTTTTGGCGGTTCATTCAGCTGCGCATATTGTAAAAAGGGGTCCTGTTTCGTCGTTGTGAAAAATTATTTTATTAATAAAGCTATCTATAAATATTAACAAAGACCAAAATACAGTAAATGACGAAAGTACCACCGTTGACGGGGTTAGAAAGGTAAAAAAAAAATGGACTGAGGAGTGAAGTTTTGACTGATCAACAGGGGAGGTGAAGAAGGTTCTGACGGTGGAGACGGGGCTGCAGCCAGGAGAACAGAGGCTGATATTCAGAGGAAAAGAGAGAGAAAATGGGGAGTACTTGGACATGTGTGGGGTCAAAGACAGATCAAAAGTCATACTTATGGAGGACCCAGTTAGCATTGAGAAGAGATCCATCGAGATGCGAAGAAATGCCAGGATTCAAACCGCACTTCGCGCCATCTCCGACATTGCCTTGGAGCTTGATAAGCTCGTAGACCAGGTAATCAAAGGACTCCTTTAGTTTATAAGTTTGCACAAAAAACTTTAAACAGAAATTTAAAGTTTTAAGAGAAAACACTATAATTAAAAGGTTTTATGTTAGAAAAATCAACCGCATAAACCATTATATTTTTTATTAAGAAAAATTCCTGAAAAAAGACGACAATATATGGGCCATGAAGCCATGTTCTGTGATTGGCAAAACGTCAGCTCTGATTAATTAGTGTTGGCCGTTCGATGTGTTGACTATGATAATAGAGTGCGAGAGCTTTTTGTGGGTCATGACGATCATGATCATCAAGTAAAGACAGCTGGCTGCGATGGTGATAATGACATCACAGTAAACAGATTTTGAAGGAGTTCCGAGTGTGGTAATCTTGTGTTCGTAGGAAGGGTTAGGGTTGTTGAAAATTATTAAGTACTGAAATTTTTTTTTGGGTAGATTTCTGGTTGTTAATTGATATTAGATAGCGAATTCTTAATTTTTTATCATAAAATTGTTGGTCTATATAAATGTATGTGTCTTATTCTATTCGTTTTTTAGGGAAAAAATAAAGAAGAAAAACTAATAATTTCATTCAGTATTATATACTATGAGTTAAGAAAGGATTCAAAGCGCGCATACATATATTTTTTATGGGATTCAAACGATTTATTAATCTACTACTGACCTATAGCCTATCCTCTAGTGGGATGGGAAGAGAGGGTTACACATGCTATAACATTTATTTTCTTTTAACAAAAAAGAAAAATAACCTATATATCTCAGTATTATAAATTTATAACTTATAGGCGCTTTGCAAATAATACTGTTCAATTTGTCACCAAGAATACATGACATATGATATTAAGTCCCGGCCCCTCAAATACTATGGGCCCGTTTATAAAATGTATTTAAATCATGATTTGAGTGTTGATTTAAATTCTTTATGAGAGAATTATTGACGAAAATTTTTTTTATTCAATTTTTTTATAAGAAAAAAAATAATGTAGTAGAGTTATAGTTTAAATTTGAATACATCTATCAAACAATCCTTATATGGTGCTGGATACGTACGAAAACTGATGTTTCACCTTAATTTTTTAATACAAAATGGTTCTTGAAAATTAATGGTGCTACTTATAAGAATATTGTTCTCTTCCAACAGTACAGTTCTATAATATTTCTTATGTGTTTAGCATAGAAGTATATTGTTATCACTGTACTGGAATATAGGCTACTAGTTGTTTTCACTGTACTGGAATATAAGCTATGACCTTACTAATCTAATCGAACAATACATAAAAGAGCCAAAGCTTTTTTCTATGATGCTGTGATGTGGCAGTCCCTCTATTTAGCTCTCTTTTCTTTTTTCTCCCTTTCGTTACTTTTTTATCTTTATTTTTTGTATTTTTTTACATTTTAATTTTTTATGTATTTTTTTAAAAATAAGTTATTCCTCACTTTACTCCTATGAGAGTAACTTTTTGCATGTGTTATTATTTTATTTTTGGTTGGTTAAAATAATTTTTATTTAATTTTATCATTAATTGTTATTTTTACACATATTTCTTTTTAAAATAAATTTAAAAATCCTTAAATAATTGTATAAATGAATTTATTATTATTCAGTATATAATAAACTCTTCAGGTTTTTTCAATACGTACAAAACTAGTAATTATAAAAGAACGGTTCATATAGCACGTCCATAGTACAATAAAATGAACTTTTCCCTCACGTGGAAACAAAAAGAAATAAAATTTTATACTTCGTAATTGCTAATATAAGAAGGGCCATAGAAGAATAGTGTTCTATTATTTATCCTAATCAAGGGAAAAAAATCATTAAAAAATTGTTATGTTGGTCGCGTTTTATGTGAAATCCCTCTTGGCTTTGGTGTTACTACTTGTATGGTTAATGGTGTAAAATTATTTGATTACCAGAGGACAAAAATAACGATTAAATTCCCTTGCTCTAGGTTTCTGTGATTGAGAAATCGTTTTCGAGTGGTGTCAAAGTGTCTGAAGTTCAAATCACTACTTTAATCGAGATGCTCATGAGACACGCAATCAAGCTAGATAATATTCCTGCAGAAGGAGATGCTACTGCTCAAAAGAATTTGCAGGTACCTTTGCCTTTTTAGTCAGTCTCCTTTATTATTATTCTCTTATGAATTTATGATCTCTCGTCAAGCATACTGGCCGAGATAAAATAAATCCGAGTTTCACATATATAAATACAACAATAACACTCAATTTATAAGAATTTTGAATATGATCAACTCAATAATTAGCAGGTTGATATTTTGACATGAAAGTCTAAATTATTAAGTCCAATTTCCACGTATCCAAAACGAGATTACAATACCCTATCCTAATGTAGTTAGTGTGACATTAAGATCTTTTCTTTTTCCAAAAAAAAAAAAGATGGGAAATTTTTTTTAAATATAGCTATGCAAATTATATGTAATCTTTGAAAACAGTGCACTACAATGGACCCGCTCGTCTTAAAATTGATGTAGTACTCTAAAGTACGTACAATACAGAAGTGGCTAACGTTTTAATCGTGGACTTAATTTGCAGGGCAAGAGAGTGCGGAAGTGTGTAGAAACTCTTGATGTGTTGAAGTTATCGAATGCGGGACTAAAGCCTGTCGTTGTGACAACAAAGTGGGAGACCTTTGATCCTCCTCCGAACACAGCCCATTGGGAAAATTTTGATTAGATCTAATTCTCATGAATTCCCCCACGTGTTTCATATGTTTTTTATTCATTCCTTTTCTTCCCTAGTACTTATCTCGAGAGGAACACATGGGAGCCACTCTCCTCCGTTGTATTTGTAGCCTCGTGTCCTCCTTCGGACATCCTGCGCCAATAAAGTGTTGGGTTAAGATAGTTAGATTAGTGATAGATTTTTGCAGGTTATTAAAATTATAAAAAAAAAAACAACAACAACAACAACTTTTACCGGTAAGGCACCATATTTACTTTTAAATATGGTTTTGATTTAATCTGAAGATTAAAATCTATATTTGAATTTAATCTGATAATTAAAAACTATATACACATATACATAAACCTGCGCGTAAATATATAATATACAAATATATGTATACACACATACACGTAAATGCGTGCGCACAATTCTACTATTATAATTACGCAATCTTTATTGTGTGTGCATGCGTACATATATAGTTCTATGTAATGATGTCAATGGGGCGGGGCAAATGATGCTCCTAATTAATTAAGAGACGTTTCGTTTATGAATTAGAATCATGATATTATAACTATTTTTAATTTACATGTATTTTTTGTGAGAGAAAACACTATAGCGAATCACGAACCATGATTCGAATCGGGGTACGAATCCTCCAACCAAACAACTCATAAATGATTCGCAGGGTGGTACAAGTCAAGACCCGTTAGAAGGTAGTTCGGGGAAAGGGCAAATCGAATAATATGATTTTTGCGGGTCGCGGGGTGGGGCACCACCAATCCATGAGTTCTTGACCTAAAATCCACAACCCCCCTCCCCCGCCCGTTTAAGTAGCAGGGCAAAGATCTAATTGTGAGGCAGTGCGGGTCGTTTAGAAACCTGTCCCATCCTATTGACATCCCTAATTCTATGGCAACATATATGACAAAATTAACCTATCAATTTTATGAAATGTGTTTATAGTTTTTTTTTCTCTCATCTATTTGATTTTG